AGTGTTTGAACCTCAGGAAAAATTATAATGTGGAAAATACTGTGTTGCTGAAGTTTGCAGTCCTCTATTAGGAACTTCATGATTAAGTATGCATTCAGATAACCATAATCATTTTTTAAAAAATTAAGTAGCCAACATAGAAGGTACTTCTTTGCTCTCTGAGAAATACCTCAGTCGTCTGCCACCCCACTCAAAACAGACCTCATTGAAGAAGGTGGAACGTTAAAAGGAAAGTTTTTCTTTTACAAAAAGAAATTTCATTTCATCCTTTCCACTAGCACATAGTCAAATTTCCTATTCCTTCTTCGTCACTCCTGACCCTACCTCATGAAGGTGTTTTATTAAAACAAGTTTATACCTGTTTCCAATCATGAAGTGCATAGATGTATCATGCATGATGGAATATATATAACTTTTTATTAGATGCTTAATTTCAATTAAATAATTTTGATGTGAAGAGTAAAAGAATATGCTTTAAAGATATACCATAAAGTTTTTCATATTTTTAAACAAGGCAGTTTTGTAGTCTCTTAAGAGTAAATACAACTGCTCCTGTTTTGTTTTTAAATGAGGCCTTTCTGGAATATTTTGTGTGAATATTAAATCCTTTAGGAATTCAGAAATGTTCAAAGTATGTTTTGTAATGAAATGCAGTACACATTTCGTGGATCAATTTTCAAAGAATGATCATAACCTACTGTGTTAAAGTAACAACATAGGCTGTTTTTCATCTGATTTGTTGATGATGTAAATAAAATGTGTAAATATTAGTAAATGTTAATATTCATGTATCTTTAAGTTAAGGTTATAAACTTTGTCACAATGTGTTTTTTTATTGAAGTCAAAACAGATGTGTGCAACTATTTTGAATATTGATTTATAAATATTCCTTTTATCAACAAACTGTAGTTTTTGTGTTTTATTCCACAAATGTTGATGTTAAAGGGGATCAGGGAAGACTTAGGCCGTAGGACTGCCTGGTTCTAGGGCTTTAATGTCTCTTTCTGTAAGGCCACACACACCAAAGTGCTGGGAGTCCCCTGAAAGTCTTAGGAGTTCACATGAGGGTAGTTTTTTAACAGTTGGGAGGGTGTCAGGCTAAGTGGTTCACACCTTTAATCTCAGCACCTGGGAGGTAAATGGTTTGAGGCCAGCCTGGTCTACATAGTCAGTTCCAGGACAGGCAGGAGGAATACATAGTCTTCAGAGAGAGAAGAGAGGAGAGAGACAGACAGACAGACACACACACACACACACACACACACACACAGACGGAGGGGGGAGGTTGGGGGAGGGAGAACTTTTAGCTGGGCTTGGTACCAAGTGCTTTTAATCCCAGTACTTGAGAGGCAGAGGCAAGGAGGATCTCTGAGTTCGAGGCTGACCTGGTCTACATAGGGATCGCCAGGCTAGCCAGGCTAGCCATGGCTACATAGAAAGGACCCTGTCTCAGAAAAAAAAAAAAAAAAAAAAAAAAAGGAGGGTTGGGGACATAGGTCATTGCTCAAACCCTTGCTGAGCATGTGCAAGCCCTTGTGTTTGATGTTCAGCAAAGAGCAAAAAGCAAGAAGGGGAAAGTAACAATCTGGAGGTATTTGAAAGCTTACCTAGATGATTTTCAGCTCACTTTTGTAACAGTAAATCACTCCATCTTTGACATGCCACCTAAATTCCTAACACAATTTGGAGTCTGCATTTTGTTTGTTTTTAGTTTATTTGGGGGGGGGGGGTTTCCTTTTAGGTCTGTACAGTGCCTGTGGAGGCCAGAAGAGGGCTATGGAACCCTAAGAACTGGAGTTACAGATGTTTGTGAGCTGCCATATGGGTATTGGGAATCAAACCTGGGCCCTCTAAAAGAGCAGTGCGTGCTCTTAACCACTGATCCACCTCTTCAGCTCCTGGAGTCTCCTTTTTTAAAACACAATTTTTCACAGTGCATTTTTTTTCTTGGTAGCAGTTTTTTTGTTTTTTTATCATTTTATTGACTTATCTATTGAACTGGTAAATCAGAACTCTCTCCCTGTTACTAGGCTAAGGACTATATAACTTTTTAGTGTTACAAAGAGACACTTGTCAACTGAGGAATTATCACTTTTAGATTATGCATTTAGGATAAATTTTGGGCACTGAGATACTAGGTCAAAGGTAAATTTATTTTTTATGATTATAAATTCCATTTTAGGAAGATGAAAAAATGAAAGGCAAGCAACCAATCTTATTCCTCCAAAGCTACCTCACAGTTTTGCCTTTTTAGGGTCACTAGTAGTTGAGTTAAGTTTAAGCTACAAATATCAATGACAACAACATATCTATCTATCATCTATCTATATTATGTGTGTATAATAAATAGTAGAACACCTAATGGCCAAAAAAATTAATTTATGAAGGTCATGATTAACCCTATTTGAGGGAATTTTATTTCTCGAGAGGAATAAAATGGTATGTTAGGTCCATAAGCCTAAGTGTTAGGTCGACGTGATCTAAAGAGATTATTCGCCGCAGATTCTAATATTCTAGAAAGCCTTGAATATCACAGACTACTGTACTAGTTGCCATGTGCCTTCTCACTTATTTTGGCATGGTAGCAGCAGCTCTGACACAGTTTGCTCTCCCTCCCACTCCCCGCCCCCGTCTTTAGATGCTGTAACCTTGGGAAATTTTACTGGTTATAAGACGACTGAGGAAAAAAAGATGTTTCCTTTTCGTTGGTTGCCGACCATTGCAAATTAATCTTCCAGTCGTCAGAGAACTGGCTGTCTAGGTTAGACCAGCCGTTTTCAAAAGTGGCCTAAGAGTTTTTCTTTCAGGCAAACCTGCAAGATCTGTCCCAGAATTTCTCGCTGAGGTTGATGCCTTCCGGTGCCGCCAAGTACTTTGGACCTCTTCTTATTTCACAGGCTCCCATTGGGCGTTACGGCGTCTTCTTCGCACGAAGATTGGCTGTTTACTTTCAGGCCTCGCCATGTGATTGGCTGTCGTGCTCAGCGATTGGGCACCGGGAGCTGAGGGGCGGGAGGCGCGAATTTCTGCGTGTGGAGCCGCTGAGCTGCACTGCTCAGGGAGGAGTGTTGGTGGCGCGGCACCTGGCAGCACCCTAACAGCAGATGAGGTAGACCTTTCCTACTCTTGAACTTTCCTCGAGCGCCAACATCTCCTTTTCTCCCGGAGCCGGAGCCAGCCTCAGGCGAGTGGGAAGGACGGCGGGGGAGAGGGGCAGGCGCCTGCAAGTCCACGCGGGCTCTCAGGCCCTTGGATGTGACCAAATCACTCGGCCCGGTGGCATCATTGGCTGTGCGAGAGCTGGGAGCCTGGGGAAGGATAGCTGAGGAGTTGGCACCTGTCCCTACCTTCTGTGATGCAAGCCTGGAAGGAGCCCCCGCAGTACTTTTTGGACCGAGACAGCCTGTTGCTTTTTTTTTTTTTTTTTTTTTTTTTTTTTTTTTTAAAGAGACAGGATCTCACCTTGAAGTCCCGGCTTACCTGGAATTCGCTATGTTGATCAGACTGGCCTCGATCTCACGAGATCCTCCTTCCTCTGCCTCCTGATTGTTGGGGGTCAAAAATCTGCGCCACCACATGCGGAGGCTTGTTTGTCTTTGATGCATTCAGCAAGGGAAACTCCCAGGTTTTGAATGTTGCCACAGCTGCCATCATAGATTGCCATCTAGGTTAATTTCAGTAAAACAGTATTGAGTTCTTGCTTCAGATTAAGCAGTTAATTAGATTCTACTAAGCCTCAGCGGTATACAGATAGGATGATTTTCCTAAGAATATCTTATTTATTTTTGGACAGTTTCATGCATGTATATACAATGTATCTTGACCATATCCATCCCCAGTCCACCCTTCACAACTCCCCTGAACCCTTTCAGATGCCCTGTCCCATCTTCATGTTGCCCCCCCCCCCACCAGCTGATAAAGGCACAACCAAGCCTGAATGTGTCTTTTTAATTCCTGAGACTCACATGGTAGAAGGAGAGAACCTAACTCTGGCTTCACCAAATTGTTCTCTAACTTCCATGCCATGCTGGTCCTTCTCCCTCAGTAAATTAAAAAATTAAAAGAATTACTGTGGAAAGAAAGATACTTTCTCCCTTACAATGATTTTAAGATTAGACATATTTCAGAGAACAATTTTAGATCATAGAAGTAAAATGGTAGGTCAAAGATACAACCTCTGCTTCTTGACTGCTTGTCTGCTCCTCTTCAGTGTGAAAAAGTGTGAGAAGGGGACATAGGCATGTGCAGAGTAAGAGAAAAAATTGGCCATGGACTAGCAGAGCCCCTTCAGAAATCTGTGTTTCTGTAAGTTGATTACATGTAATCTAAATTGTCTAAGTTGTGCTTATCTGCTACAAACTATATGTTTTTACATTATTTCATTTAACCTTTACAGCAATCCTGAAGGGATGATCCTGTTCTATTCTTACTCTATACCTGAGAACATAGAGTTCTAGAAAAGTTAAGTGATTTACCTAAAGTCACATAACGCATCATGGAGTTAGGAGTGCCAATCCAGATTTGTCAGACTCTCTGGTACATGATCTTGACCCTGTGATTTATTTATAAGACTAAGAAATATTTTTTTGTTTTCATTACTTTTGTATATGTGCTTATTCCAGTTCTTATTATCACACTTCTGTTCTATTGCTAGGTGTCTGGCTTTCTTTGAATGACATTATTTCAATACTTAAACTATAAATACTTTTTGTGTGTGTATATGGGTGTGTGTGTGTGTGTATGTGTATGGGCGTATGTGTGTGTGGTGTGTTTGTGTGTGTATATGGTTGTGTGTGTGTGTGTCTGTGTGAATGTGTGTGTGTGAGAGTGTATATGGGTGTGTGTGTATACTAGGTAAATACAGCTTCTTTCAGAAGCCAGATAAGGGTGTGAGAGCTCTTGGAACTGGAGTTGGAGGCATTTGTAGGTGCTGGGAATCCAACTTAGTTCTTCTTGAAGAACAGCGGATACTCTTAACTTGTTGAGCCATCTCTCCAGTCCCTCAATATTGATGTTATTGATTCTGTTGCAGTGAAGTATCTAAAGTAAAGAAGAAAGCAGAATGTCCTCAGTGTCGTCTGAATACACCATTGGTGGGGTGAAGATTAACTTTCCTTGTAAAGCTTATCCAGCACAGCTTGCTATGATGAACTCTGTAAGTATTTTACAGCAGGTAAGAGTCCAACTATACATTGATTTTGTAACTATTCTCAGGTACAAAATGATGGTTAATATTTGTTGGATTCATTTGGAAGAGCATTTTAGGAAAGCAGTATTGATAACTTCTAAGCTGTATCTGGTTAGCATATAAGGAAAAACCTCGGAAGCCATTCTCACTTCCTTTATTCTGTGTATGTGTGTGTGTGCGTCGTGTGTGCATGCGTGTATGTATGAGTAGTTTGCCTGTATGTATATATGTGCATCATGTACATGCATGGTGTTTGAGGTTACATATTGTTGTCAGCTTCCATGCTGTGTGCAGAGAATTGAACCTAGGTCCTTTGTAAGAACAGCATGAGTCTGTAATTGCTGAACCATCTCCTCTCCAGCCCATGTAGGGGATTGTCTTAACTGATATGAGGAGACCCAACCCACTGTGGGCAACACCATTCCTCAGGCAGGGGGTCCTGAACTGTGAAAGGTGGAAAAATAGACCTAAGCTCAAGGAAGTGAACGTGTGCATGCATTTCTCTGCTTTTGACTAAGGATATGCCTAGTTGCTTTAAGAACCTGCCACTGTGACTTCCTTGCTCAGATGGACTATAACCTGGAATTGTACATAGAATATAAATTCTTTACCCCCTGTGCTGGTTTTTGTCAAAGTGTGATATCATAGCCACAGAAATGTAACTGGAACAGTGGTGGTAGGTATGATCACAGAGCTTCATACTCTTCCACTGAGCTGTATCCCTACCAGCTGTTTGTTTCTGTTTTCTTTGTAACTTTATATTTATGATATGTCATCATTTTAATTGCAATATGGCATTTTTTGTATGGCTAGCATAATCTGTCCATTTTCCTGCTGGTGGTATTTAGGTTGCTCATAATCTCTTGGAATCAGCAAAAAATGATACTATGAATCCACTCACACATATTTCCTGTTTATGTAGGAAGGGTTTGGGGTATGTGCTTAGTGATAGACTTAGCAGATTTGGGCATCTTCCTTTTACATTTTTAATTTTTCTCTGACTTAATTATTTATTGATTCTTTGGGCGTTTCAAACATGCACCCCCAATTCCTCCCCCCCCAAAATAAACACCCCTCAAAAGAAACACCCCCCAAGAATCAGTTAAAAAGAAAACAAAACAAACAAGGACCCACCTTACTCCTCTCTTTCCAACACTTCTTCATTCATCCTTGTGGCATTGAGAGCTGTGGCGTGTCACGAAGTATACCCTTTTGTCCCATCAGCCCCACCCACAAAATGCTCACTGCAGTGAGTCATTGGTCTGCTTCAAGACGTCTCTGGCCACCATCATCATTGGACTCTTGAATATCCTGCTGTTGCCATGAGTCATGAAGATCCTGTGGTTATCGTTTCACAGGACCAGGCCCCTCAAGCACTCCTGCAGGTTACAGATGGGTAGATGTTAGGGTTATAACAATTAGTCCTTACAGTAGTGGAATTACTCCTTAAGTTTTTCTTATACATATATGTAAGTATTAGTATATTACAGTCCTTTTTTTTCTTTGTTTTTCTAGGTTATTTTTTATGTGTGTGAGTGTTTTGCCTGCAGTTATGTCTGTGTACCAGACATGTATACCAGAGGCCTGAGAAGGCCAGAATAGGGAGTCAGATCTCTTGGAACTGGAGTTAGAGGTGGTTGTAAACTGCTGTGTGGGTATGGAAATTGAACCTGGATCTTCTGTAAGAGCAACAACTGCCCTTAAATGCTGAGTCACCTCTGCAGCGCACATTACAGTTTTATAGATACAATTTGTGCTTGTAAAACCAATACTCTGTCTGGATTTAACACAATTCTAGTTCTTCCTTATGCTGTCTTGCTGCATTTCCTGGAGTGCATCCAAACTCTTCTTTGCTGTTCTATTCATGTTCCTTTTCGATGGAGGGAGATCTGATAAAGCAATCGTATATTATCTTTTTAAAAATTGATTTCTTTGTCCACAGATTGTCAGAGGACTAAACAGTAGTCAGCATTGCTTGTTGGAGAGTCCCACAGGAAGTGGAAAAAGTTTAGCATTACTTTGTTCTGCAATAGCATGGCAACAATCTTTTACTGGTAAGTAGTTCTTATAAAAAATTACTTTATTTTGTGTGTGCAAATATGTGTAGGCACATGTGCTGTGGTAGGAACATCAGAGGATAAGTTGCAGGGATCACTTCTCTCCTTCCACGATATTGGTCCAGCAGGTTGGACCCTGGTCATCAGCTCAGTGGCAAGTGTGTCTTTATTTGCTGAACAATTAAGCAAGCCCCAGGTAAGTTCTTGATATCTTCAGGTTGCTAGTTGGGACCAGAGAAAAATACAGTATAATACACTTTATCTAGACTGGTTCAAACAAATCAGTTAAATCAAAATAATCTCTGTCAAGACATTTCTTCAAGATGCATCATCAGTGCCAGGCATGGTGGTACACATATATAAGCATTCAGGAGCCAGAGGCAAGAGGATTGTCACACAGTTCAAGGCCAGCCTGGTCTACATAGCAAGTTTCAGGCCAGCCAAGGCTATGTAGCAATTCCTCCAAAACAAAACATTGTAAGTATTCCAAAAGAAGTTTAATACATCATAATTAATTCTTAAATAATCTGAACACAATTTAGTCCTTTTACTTGATTGTGGACAGTGTATGCTAACATTTTAGAGGTTTGGAGTTCTTATGAAAATAAGTAGATGATAATTTGTATCTAAGAAATAGGAGCTGAAGCTCTGATGCTGCTGATGTATACACTAATTGCTTGAATATATCCTTGAGTATATTTGCTTGACTTTTATAACATTAAAATGTGGAATATATGAAGAAGAAAACATAAAACTGGAATAGTGGTACATGCCAGTAAGCCTAGTGCTTGGGGGATTGAAGAGGACAGTGAGTTAAAGGCCAGCCTGGGCTATATAGCCCCTTGCTCTAAATTTGTGTGTGTGTGTGTGTGTGTGTGTGTGAGAGAGAGAGAGAGAGAGAGAGAGAGAGAGAGAGAGAGAGAGAGAGAGAGAGAGAGAGATACTATCTCAGATCTGTGCATTATTCAGGAACCCCTAGCTCTGACTAAATAAATAAAAGGTACTTGTTGCTTTACTTGTTTGGATACCAGATAAATAGAAGTTAATTTCTGTTATATCCTATTATATTAATTGTTGCCAGAGCTACACAGTGAGACCTTGTCTCAAAAAGTTAATCTGGCTGGGACTGGGCATGTGCTCCTGCATCCCTAGCACAGGAAGCCGAGGCCAAAGGGTCCAGAGCTTAAAGGAAGCCTGGGATACAGCAAGAATCTGTCATGAAAAACCAAACTTGGCCAGGTAGTGTGGCCCACATCTTTAATCCCAGCACTAGGGAGGTAGAGGCAGGCAGGGCTCTGTGAGTTTGAGGCCAGCCTGGTCTATAGAGTGAGTTCGAGGATAGCCAGGACTGTTTCACAGAGAAACCTTGTTTTGCAAAACCAAAAAACCAACCAAATCAACCAAACAAACTTGAGTCCTGGGCTAGGGATGTAGCTCTGTGATATAACATTTTCCTAGCATGTGCAAGGCCCAGGGTACAGTACCCAGAACTGCCATATATGCACCCATATAACAAAAGGTCCTAGGGTACTGACTCCCATTGCACCACATTCCAACAGTGAGTCCTGGACTTAAATGTTTTTGTAGATTCCTACAGGCAATCCTGAATTAATGTTTCTTTTGTAAAAACACATATTTGCTCATAAGAGCTGCTGTATGATTTTTTTTATTAAAATGTGACATCATTTGGGTAAACACAAAATTGCTATTAATATTTACTTGATGAAAAACTAATTTTTAAAAAATATTTATTTTTTACAATTATGTGTGTATGGATTTATGTAAGCTGCTCACAGAGGGCAGAAGAGAGTGTTGGATGACCTAGAGCTAGAGTGACAGGTTGGGGGGTGGGGGGAGTTGTGGACTTGCCCATGTTTATGCTGGAAACTGAATTGGATTCTCTGGGAGAGCAGAAGTGTTCAACTTCAGCCATCTTTCTAGCTCCAAGACTGTAATCTTAACAACAAATATAGTATTGAATATTTTTCGGGTATATAAATAGATAAGTCTGAGCTAAAATATTAGGAGAATGTATAGATGCATTGTTAGAGGAAATGTTTGGGCTGACCTCTAAGCCTGGTGACCTGATTTCAATTCCTAGAACCCACCTTGCAGAAAGAGAGAACTGTCCCTGCAAGTTGTCTTCTGACCTCCACGTACATGCTGTGGCATGTACACAAGCATACATACATCCATGTAATAAAAAAGAAATGTTTGTGTTACTGATAGATATGGTAACAAGAGGTGTGCAAGATGGCCCAGCAGTCAGGGTGCTCACTACCAGTCCTGATAACCCGAGTTCCATCCCTGGAAGCACAGAGAAGAGGCACAAATTGTCTTCTGTGTGCATACCCGCTGCTCCACGTTGTTAGAGCCAGAGGAGATAGATGACTCCAGGAAAGTAGTGTCCGTACACATCCAACAGAACGATACTCATGTAAACTCGCAGTGACTGTGGCCACACACACAGGTTCAAGCCAGGAATCCCAGTATTGACAACTACAAGGCAAAAAGCTATCTGCAGCTGATAATCTGCTTGCAAAGGAAAACATAGTTCTCTCCAATGGGGTCTCCTGAGTATATTACCACGCTTCATGGCAGGCCACATGCCCAGGAGTAGTTTGCCAACACAAAACAAACTCAATGATACTTCTGTAGACCTTTTGTCACTTATTGCTTTATTTGGACATTTTTTTCTATCATATTGGTCTTTTGAGTGCATATTTTGGTTTCTGTTTTTTTTTTGTTTTTTGTTTTTTTTTTAGATATGTGCGTTTATTCTTGTTTATTTAAACAAAAAGCTATGTATTCGTGTAGATGCAGAGGTGAGGAGGACCTAAGAGGAGCTGAGGGATGATAGGAGCATTATTGGTATATATTATATGAAAAATATTTTTCAATAAATATATAATGAAAAGAAAAAAAATTTAATGACAGTTATCTGGGAAACGTTTTTGTGTTACAAATGAGTAAACAGTATCATCAGTATATTTAAAAAATAGTTTGTTTTTCTTTTTTCTTTTTGGTTGTTTGAGACAGGGTTTTTCTGCATAGTCCTAGAACTCGGTCTGTAGATCAAGCTAGTCTTAAACTCACAGAGATCCGCCTGCCTCTGCCTCCCAAGTGCTAGGACTAAAGGTGATTAGCTTTTTAAAAGTATATGAGTTGTGTAATTGTGCATCATGTGGGTACATAATGTAGACACTGTAATTTCTTTAAAAGTATTTATTTTTATTTTATGCATGTGGGTATATTTTCTTGCATGTCTATGCACCACATACATGCCTGGTGGCTGAGCAGCCCAGATGAAAGCATTGGACCATCTGGAACTGGAGTTGCAGATGGTTGTGAGCAGCTATGTGGGTGCTGGGAACTGAGTTGAGATCCCTGGGAGAGCAGTAAATGCTCTTAACTGCTAAGCCATCTCTCCAGTCCCCATATTGTAATTTTAAAAATTATATTTAGTAATCTTATTTACCTTTTTATTGGATTTGAATACTGTCCTAAATGTACTTTGATACTTGTATTAGACAAGAATTTTCTCATGTATCACTAGCTGTCCTGGAACTTACTCTGTAGATCAGGCTGGCCTCAAACCCAGAAATCCACCTGTCTCTGCCTCTTGAGTGATGGGATTAAAGGTGTGGGCAACCTCCCCAAGCCTGAATATTCCTATTTGAAATAGAAGTATAATGTGAGGCTGGGTGTGGTGATTCACATTTTTAATCCCAGAATTCAGGAGGCAGTAGCAAGTGGGTCTCTTGCTACTGGTCTATTGAGTAAGTTTCATGACAGGTGGGACTTTGCAGAAAGACAATCCTTACCTTTATTATTTAGGATACTGAAATTTCCGGTTTTTCTTATAGGGCAATAGCAGTAATGAAGCATGTTCTTGTTGTCTTTGTTTTAATCCTTTTTGCTTGATTTTGAAACACATCTGAATGTAAATAAATACAGGAATGGTTGTACTGTCAATTACATTATTAATCTTCATTATTATGTTTTTATAGTTTATACAGTGATAACATTTCTGAACACATTGTAGGCATAGCTTTTTTCTTCTTTCCTGATTCAGTACTGTAGATAAGGTTCTGGTAGATTGTTTCTCTTCATTTAATCTTGTAACCTGGGAAACTTCCAATCCTTGGTGAACTGAGGTGGTTGCTTACTTAGCTAAAAGGAAAATTATTATTATGTTTTAGTTATATGGTGGTTAATGGAGTTATTTTTTTTTTTTTTTAGGAAAGCCAGTGGATGAGGGTTTGAATAAAAAACCTGAGGTGCCATCATCATGCTGTTGTGCATGCCATTCAAAGAATTTTACATTCCGTGACATGAACATGGGCACTTCACCTCATTTCAGTAGTCCAAGCAAACCGTCTGAAAGAAATGGCACTTCATCACCCTGTCAAGGTAAATTATATTCTGCTTATGTCTGTTGGAATCTATATTGGATCTTTCCTTACTTATTACTACTCTTAAGCTTAATTCAGATAAATTTACCTAGTATGATTACTTTTTCTGAAATTCCTTTTTCAAAAATTAACTTATTTTCTATATTTGAGTATTTGTCTTCAAGTGTGTGTCTGTGTTTCCTGTGCATGCCTGATAGCCTTGAAGACCCTGGTACTGGAATTTCAGCCCCCCCCCCGAAATTATTTAATTACATTTATCTTCGTGTGTGTGCTACAGCACTTGTGGTTGTCAGAGGACAACTTGCTGGTGTCATTTCTCTCCTTCTACCATGTGGGTCCTAGATCAGGTCATTGGTCTTGGACACAGGTGCATTTATGCACTGAGCCTCTCTGAAATTCTTTAAATTATATTTATTTATTTTCAGTGCTGGTTATGGAACTTCAAGTTTTGTGTGTGTCAAAGAATGTGCTTTGAACTGAACAATGGGCTTTAGGGGAATAATTTTACCATGTCATTGAGTGCTCAAAAACTTTTGGACCTTTTAATTTGTGTTCTCACTTCAATTACTGAGATATTTCTCTGGGTTACCCCCTCCCCATTAGTCTTTTCTCTGTGTTGTCTTCTGTCACCAGTGATGAACTTCACTTTCTTGTGAAAGTGGAGTTATATATGTGGTTCTATGTCTGTCTTGGTATTGTATTGTTGAGAATCTATTGGTTTATTCTTCACTTCTCTATATTATTTCCTTGTATTATTATACCAGGATATGTTCATCTATTCTACAGTTTCAGGTGATCGAGTTGTTTTCATTTTTGTTTAATAAAACAGGGATTTTCTTGTTTGTATGAGTACAAATAGATTTTTTTCTATTGTATACATACTTGAAAATAGGTTGGTTATAGCTTATACATTTTTATTAGCTGTAGTAGATAATGCCAACAATTTCCCAGTTTTTGTAATCCTCTAGCCATCCCTCATTAATTCAGGCATACATTCTTTATGGTACTTTGTGTGGATATTGTATTCTTTTCAAATCAAAAGTCTGTGGTAACCCTTAATTGAGCAAATTTGTTGATTGTAGGCAGACTTTTCTTTCCCACCTGCCAGTTCCCAAATAACTGGCACAGAGGTTTAATATATCAATTATAAATGCTTATCCAATAGCTCAGGCTTATTACTAACTAGGTCTTATAACTTAGCCCATTTCATTTTCTTTTAATTTATTGTATGTGCATTGAAGGTGTCAGATCTTGGGAGTTTGAGCTGCCATGTGGGTGCTAAGAATTGAACCCGAGTTCTTTGGAAGAGCAGCCAGTGCTCTTAATCACTGAGTCATCTCTCCAGCCTAGTCCATTTCTATTAATCTTTGTATTGCCACATGGCTTGTGGCTTTACCTGTTCTCCAGCATGTCCTGCTCCCCTTATGTCTCTTGGCAACCTCAGACTCTGCCCTTCTTCCCAGTGTCCTTAGTTTGGTCTTCCCGCCTAACCTTATTTTGTCTAGCTATTGGCTAGTCAGCTTCTTTATTAAACAAATCACAGTGACATATATTCACCCAGTGTAAAGGAATAATTCATAGTTGATGCCATAATTTTTTTTCTAAAAGCATGATTGTTAGATTTTTTTTTTTTTTAGCAGTAAGGTGTTTTTTTAAAATAAGGCATTTTAAAATTAAGTTACTTTTTTCAGACATTAATATTACATAGTTAATAGCTACAGTAGGGACAATATAATCATAACTTTATATAATGGGAAACAAAAAAATTCATGTGACTCATTTTGTTGCCATGTTAGCTTTATTGAGATGGTGTGGAATGCAAGTCCCAACTTTAGAGGTGTGCTTCAGAGTGGAGGTTTTCAACACTCATATCTCTTGGTATTTCCAGTTTTCTTAAGTTTGAACCATGCTTGCATGTTTGGTGTTCTTACTGATGTGTTATTTTATCTTGTTTACAGTGCTATGGATTGAACCTAGGGTCAACCCCAACCCCAGCCTGTCATGAGTAATGAACATTTTACATGTTTATTGGTTTTTAGGAATAAATATCATCTTTAGTGAATTGTCTGTTTAAATAGTTTTTCTTTTGTACTGACTTGTGCGAGTTGTCCTTCTTATTTTCCACACCCTTTTCTCTTTCTTCATTTATTTTGGAGATACTAACTTCTATTTAAGTTATGCGCTTTAACAATTTAACCTTGTTGGTGAACTTGCAAACTCCTAAACTGTAGAGAATAGAAGATGTAGAGAATAGAGCTAGAGAGATGGCTCCTGAGGACCTGGGTTTGATCCCAGCACTCACATGGTGACTCACAACATTGTGTAAATCCAGTTAAGGGAATCCCACACCTTCTTCAGGCCTCTACAGGCACTACATGCATGTGGTGCATATATGTATATGCAGACAAAGTATTCATATACATAATATTTAAATAAATGAAGCCTTAAAAAAAAGACTAGGAACTATACCAAAAACAATAATGTAGTTTAGAAATTTAACCTACCTTGTACTAAGAAAGAATAAGCTCAATATAAGGCAATAAAAATCATAGCGTATAAAGAAAACGTCTCTCTTTAAATCTTATGTTTTTAATGACTTTCATGAGAAAAGGCTTTTGGATCATGGAAGATCTGGGTCTTTGATCCCTATTGTTGAACTATTAATCATTATATTAAAAAACAAAAATCTATCCCTATCTGTGTCCAGGAAGAGCATTCATTTGTTAAAGTGTTTGCTGTGAATGCATGAGGACTGAGTTTGATTCCCCAGCACCCACTTAAAATCTTGACTGTGGGGCTGGAGAGGTGGTTCAGAGGTTAAGAGCAAGTACTATTCTTCCAGGAGACCAGAGTTCAGTTCACTCATATTCTCTTTGGGCATCTATATTCAAGTGCACATAGCCAATTGAAAATAATAATTGAAAAAAATCTGAGTTCAGTGGCATACATGTAACTCCAGCACTGAAGAGGTGAAGACAGGATCCCTGGAGCTTGGTTGTTAATCAGTGAGCTCCAGGTTCAGTGAGGGGCACTGTATCAAAAAGTGGAGAAGCGATTGAGGAAGATACCTGTAGTTGACCTCTGGCTTCCATGAATACACACATACATCATACATGCACATGTGTGTGTGCGCACGCACGTGGGTACCCACGTGCATGATCACACGTATTCTTCCATTAAACACACACAAAACCAAAAAAAGAAAACCTTGAAAATGGCATGTGGCATTGATTCCGTTTTGTGTTATAGGCTCAAACTTGTTGTATCTGCTTCTGTAGATCTTTCTGCTCTGTGAGCAAATGGTTTGTAAATCTTCTCCGTCAAGGCATTGTTTCACTTTCTGGTCATTTTGTGGACTTGGTGTGAGAAATGACTATTAAGGGGATTTAAGCCACAGAAAAGGAAGAACGTGTAGCGGAACAGGGGAACGAGGTACCTTTAAGAAAAGGTGCATAGGCAATGGAAGAAGTTAATGTATAGGATAGTGAGAAAGTAGTTATGGACATGGAGGCAAAGGAAGTGTTTGCCTTGTTTCCAGAAGGCAGGGTGTTGTTTGTCATACTGAAATTATCTTTAAGGGTTTTAAATTGAAATGGCAAATTATTAACTTTGTAATATTGGCCATTTCTTTAAAATTCACTTTGGTAAAATGGGAATAATTTTTATAATTTAGTAGTTAAGAGGTTTTTGATGGCTTTAAGAATGAGTTTTCGGAGTTGTGAGGTTAAGACACGAGTCTTAGTCTCTGAATACTATTTTTAGTCTAAAGAACGTGATGAGGCCCAGTAGGACAGGAACATTAAAGTTTTCAGAGAAATGAAACAGCATTGATTGCATCTTAAAGGGCGCGATTTCCATATTTTGTCACCATCCTCTATATTACAGATTGAGCCTAAAGCTTCTCACATGCCAGGCAGTTGCTTTACCAGCTGAGTGACACTCCAGCCCTTACAGTGGTATTTCTTAAACCATGCAATAGAGTATAGCCTATAAAACATGAGTCCTGTTAAATGTATGTTTCTTGAAATGCTCTTTGTATTTATGGTAAAAATAAATCGGGTGATAAAAAGTTTCTTTAAAATATGTCTTGCTGGATGTCTTGGTGCATGTCTTTAATTTCAGAGGCAGAGGTAAGTGGATTTCTTTGAGTTTGAGGCTAGTCTGGTCTGCTTAGGGAGTTCCAGGCCAGCCAGGGCTACATAGTGAGACACTGTCTCAATCAATCAGCCAATGGGGGGAAAAAAATCATACATTTTAAACTGTTATGAAATTTATAGAAATGTCTTAAATTTTGGTTTTCTTCTAAAATTGCATAGAATACATTATTTATATTATTTTTATTATAAATGTATCATATTTATTGTAAAATTACTTTTTATATAAGACTCTCCTGAAAAAAATACTCTAGCTGCAAAGTTATCTGCCAAGAAACAGGCATCTCTACCCAGAGATGAAGATGATGATTTTCAAATGGAGAAGAAAAGAATCCGACCCTTAGAAACTGCACAGCAGGTAAGCAGTTTATTGACTGTTAAAATAACCTCGTTATCTAGTTAGGCATAGCTGAACATGAAGTTGGTGGCGCTGGTAGAGAACAGTTGTGTCATAGCTACAAAATAAACGGTCATTTTCATTCTATTGGTATTGCTGCCAAGGAAGTTGTTAGTGTAGCAGGTTTTTCACACACACTAACTTAAGGCAACTGCATGATGATTTCTTGCACATGAATAATTTGGTGGTATTTTCTTCAGGCATATGTGTAGCAACTTTACAATTTTTCAGATTTATTAATTTTCAAAATTGCTGATATAATTCATTATACAAAACAATAGGTTTCATGATGACATATTTATTTGTGGGTATTACTTGTTTTGAACATAGTAACATTCTCCTGTTCTCCCCACTCTGCTGGTCTCCTTTTCCAAAATGGCTTATTTTGTGCCTTCTCATCTGATTTTTTTTTTTTTTTTTTTTTTTTTTTTTTATTAAACTAGATCTTTCATATGAGAGAGTGTGAAAAGGGCAGAGTGCTTTGTGACTCTTTGTACCATCCTTACACAGGGTCCATGTTAATTTTTATTGTTACAGTTTTAGCACCTATGCTGTTGAAGAGTATTGTACTTATGTTTTATTTTAATGTGTGTGAATGTTTTGCCTGCATGTGTGTATGTGCTCCACGTGCATGCCTGGTACCAGCAGAGGTCAGTAGAGGTTATTGGATCCCCTGGAACTGGAGTTATGGATGCTTGTGAACTACCATGTAGGTGCTGGGAACTGAACCTGGATCCTCTGCAAGAGCATCAAGTGCTCTTAGGTGCAAAACCATCTCTCCAGTCCCATTACTGTACTTTTAAAACTCTTCAGTACTTTTTACCTAATTATAGCATTTTCTTTTGGTTCGAATACCTTTGAATTTTCACACTATATATAATTTTGGTGTGACAGTGTAAGTGGAATGGCAAAGTTTACTGGAAGTTTAATGTTGTTTCAGTGGTGTTCTTGGCATTTGTGTGTGTGCCTGCACGAGTATTGAACCCAGGTCCTCCCGCATGCTAAGCAAACACTCTTTCCCATTGAATTGATAATCCAGTCACTTAATTTGAGACAGGATCTTTCTGAGTTGACTTTAGACTTGTGATCCTTCCTTGGCTTTCTGCAAGCTGAGATTGCAAGCATGCAGCACTCATATGCCTGGCTATTTACTTTTTTTTTTTTTTTTAAGATTTGTTTATTTATTATGTATACAATATTCTGTTTGCATGTTATTTCTGCAGGCCAGAAGAAGGTACCAGATCTCATTACAGGTGGTTGTGAGCCATTATGTGGTTGGTGGGAATTGAACTATGCCACAGAGATATGGAGAGTGAGAATTTAATATACTTAGTTATAAATACTAAAGAGGGATTATTAATTAGCATGTCACTTGTATGTAAATAATTGAGTACTTTCACAAGTATATTTAAATTGCTTGTGTTCCAGTTTTACATAGTTTAAATATCTACCAACAATTTCTGGAATTAAATCTTGTTTTTACAAGTAGAATAAACTAGCTTATTTTTGTAAAAGTACCAATTATAAGTGGAACTGGAATCTAGGATATGGATTAATTATTAATGTATTTTCCAGTTAGGTATGTGGTTTGGCTTGGCTGAAATGCTGTATTGTCTACATGGTATGACAATTTTATAGGAAGATCATTGTAATACAGTAATTTTTTGTAATAAAATAATTTTTATACATTAGTACTTGAAGAGGACATGAGTTGTTACCATATATTCTCTTTGACCTTAATGGTGTTATGAGGTTTCTGTTTGTATTGTTTTTTAGGATTTTATTATTTTTTGAAAAGATTTATTTGTTTTGTATAGTGTTCTGTCTGCATGTGTCCCTGCAGCCAGAAGAGGGCACCAGATCTCATTACAGGTGGTTGTCAGCCATTATGTGGTTGGTGGGAATTGAACTAAGGACCTCCAGAAGACCAGCTAGTGTTTTTAACCACTGAGCCAACTCTCTAGTTCCAAGATTTTATTATTACTAATTAGAATTAACCTTTTGAAGGAAGAAGAGGGAAGGTAGAAACATCTACAGTTTAGCTGTTCTTCATCTGGTTCTGTGTTTATAGATGAGAAAACGTCATTGTTTGGAAAAGGATGTCCACCATTTGGATGCACAAGTAGCTTCAGAAAAGAAAGCAAAACCCGAGTCTCCTGTAGGAAAGACCGGCTCCTCTTTCCAAAATGTATGTATTATGCCTTTAAAGAAGGAAAATGGAGAATTTTCTAAATCTATTTTGAAAGTAGAGAAAGTAGCATGATTTGAGTAATGTATTTTTAGGTGTATGAGTGTTTTGTCTGCATGTATGTATGGGCAGCATACTTGTGCAGTGCCCATAGCTGTGAGAAAAAGGTGTCATCCATTCTCCTGAAACTGAAGTTACAGTTGGCTTTGAGCTGCCATGTGGGTGTTGGGAATCTAACTTGGATCCTTTGGAAGATCCAGTCCTTTTTATTTGTGGGTCATCTCTCCAGCCCCTATTCTTTTCTCTTTAATTGTTCTTTTGTTTGTTTGTTTGAGACAGGACTCATATGTCACAGGCTGATCTTCAGCTTCTTATGTAACCAAACAATGACTTTGAAATTCAGCCTGCCCCCAAATTCTGATTACTAGTGTGTACCAGATTTGTTTTCATGTAATGATTCATGTACTAGCAATGTAGAAAGTCATCAGTCTTCATATGATTAGAGTGTGGTCAATAGAAGCATTGTGTTTGGGGGAATATAATAATAATCTAATGCTGCTTTGTTCCAGAATTCATAATCATTTTCTTAGGAATTGATTTATATTTTAAAGTAAATCTTTATAGTGAGTAAGGTATTGTTACACGTTTTATGCTTATTTTGGTGTTTATTAAACAAGTGATGCTATAGCAGCTTTTTTGTTCAGTGTGTAGGAAAGACTTTGGTCCAGCAGAGTGCGCTGTTGGCCTTTGTCAAAAGCTGAGGCCCAGGAGCCTTTGGGCTTCTTTACCCCCTTTTCTTTTTCCTTTACCCCTGACCCTCCTCTTCTTCCCTTCTTTCCTATGTCTGTCTTTCTCTTTCTACCTAACGGTTTCTCCTAGGATCTCATGGGAAAATGACTGATTTTCTCCGAAGGTGTTTTTTTAAGTCATTTTGCCAATTTTACTTTTATTTAAAATGACCAGTTAGCTGTGTTGTAACTGCATATATCTGGGGAATGATTATTTATTTAAATGATGATGCTTTTTGTGTGCTAGGACACTTCTCTAAGTAGTTTATGAATGTTAATTCACTTTGAAAATACAGATTCATGTGAGTGAATTTTTATTGTCAAATTATATTAATTTTTCTTTGTGTCTAGTTTCAAAATAAAACAAAAGCCTTGACTTAGGTATTATATCATTCTGATGGGGAAGGTATTATTTCCCCTAATTCTGCAGGAGAAAATTGAGGTGTAGCCTTAAGTAATTGGTTCATCTCACAAGGTTGTTGAGTAGAGGAGCTGGGTTAGAATGGTTAAATCCTCCAGAGTTGTGGAGTTGTGTTCATTTTTGTGCTGTCACAGGTCATACAGTGTGCAGTACTTTGTACATATTGCTGTAAGATAGTTTCTCATTTAGTTTCCCAGCATCCTGTCTTTTCTTTCCAGTGTTTTCAAAAGTTTGCTGTTATATGCATGTTTATCTACCTTGTTTGCCTCATTGGCAGGTTGTTCTTGAGAACAAGTACAATATCTGTTTTTTTCATTTTTATACCCAGCATCTAGCACAGAGCCTGTACTTGGTCCTCACATATTTGTAGACTAATTGAACTTTTTTTTAAGGCCTAAGTTAAAGAAATGCATGATTCTCCATTATTTGTAGCTTATGACTTTTGGTCAGATCCACATACTTAGGGGATGTAATAGTATTATAGTATTAAAACAAAATCATTTCATTTTGGCTTTCATATATTGGCATACTCAAGGAAGATACTAAGCAGTACGCTTCAAGAGTTAGGAAGTAAGTTGATAAGTAATATAAATAAAAAAATTAGAAACAACTTTTGCCTTCTGTAGCTACAAGAGGAACAAGTTGTTAAATAACATTATAACTAGTTGAAAATATAATAAAGGGGACAAAATTTTAATACCTTTGCCAGTCACTTACATACAGTAGCCTAATTTCTCAAGGAATTATAATGACATGCTAATAGCTTTCTAAAATCTATACTTGTACCAGGTAATTTATGTGTTTTTCATTTGATGTTAAGCTCAATGTTAAGGAAATAGAGGAGATGTTAATTTGATAGTTGAGAAAAGTGAAGTTCGAAGATTCTGGATAAAGGGCTGGAGGGATGGTTCGGTGGTTAAGAGCACTTGCTACTCTTGCAGAGTCCCAGGTTCAATTTCTAGCTCTCACATTGGTGTCTCACAATTGACAGTCACTTCAGTTCAAGAGAATTCAAAGCTCCGTGCTGACCTTTGAGGGCACCCACACACCTGCGGTGAACATACACATGCACGTAATTTTAAAAGATACTAGGTTTGACCGTGGTCATACAGGGAAATTGTGAAATCATGATTAGGATCTAGTTCTAAATTATAGATTCATGGGTTGTAAATGAGGACAAGAAAAAAAAAAAAAAAAAAAAGAAGGGGAAATTTGTGTTATTAGCTGATGATTTTAAAAATGTGAGAGAAAATAGGCTTCATTATTTAATATGCCTGACATTAAAATATCTCTAGCTAGGGTGGCTAAGGCCTATAATTTGACCATGCAGGAGGCTAAGTCAGTAGGATTGTGAATTCATGGCCAACCTTGGGACTTCATAGCTTGTTTGATGCCAGTCTGGTGAGACCCTTAGTATAATAAAATAGAAGAGAACAAGATAGAATCAACTGGTCTTAGTAATCAGTCTGTGACTCAGAGAGAGATGGCCACAATGCATGTGTGGCAGAGAATAACCTTTTTTTTTTTTTAACTATTTTATGTGCATGGGTGCTCTGTCTGCATGCACGTCTGTGTACTTCATGTGCATGGTGCCCGCAGAACGCAGAAGAGAGTCTTGGATCCCCAGGACTGAACTTACCGTGTGGGTACTATAGATTGAACCCGGGTCCTCTGTGCTCTTAACCACTGAGCCATCTCTCCAGCCCCTCGAGGACAACTTTGTGCAGTCAGTTGTCTCCTTCCACTTTTCCATGGGTTCTGGGAATTAAATGCAGGTCACCTGGCTTGTACAACAAATGCCTTTACCTGCTGAGCCACCTCTGGACCTAGATTTGTTTGATTTTCATTAAAACAAAACAAAACAAAACAAAACAAACAAAAAACCCAAACGTTTTGTTGCTGTCTTATTCCCCACAGATAATATCTTGGTGTGTACAACCTGAGGTGCCCTTCAGCTCTTAATTCTCTTGCTTCAGCCTTCTGAGTAAAAACATCCATGATTGGTTTAAACTCAGTGTTTGTATTTGTTTGTTTTTTCTGAGACAGGGTTTCTCTGTTACTTTGGAGCCTGTCCTGGAACTTGCTCTGTAGACCAGGCTGGCCTTGAACTCACAGAGATCCTCTTGCTTCTGCCTTCCTGGTGCTGGGACTAAAGGCGTGTGCCACCAACATCCTAGGTTAAACCTATTTAAAAAAAAAATGATTAATAATAACTATTTTTTTTAAAAAGTTCTAATTGTAAGTTAGCAGAAAAATAAGATGGTTTCCCTAGTAGTAGAGGGCCTACAAATAAATGCCATAGACTCTTGAGAATCTTCTTGGTTTTCATAGCTTTGCTTTTACATTTAAACTTTTTTTTTTTTTTTTTTTTTTTTTTTGAGACAGGGTCTCACAGTGTAGCTCTTATTGGCCTGGAACTGTATATGTAAACCATGCTTATAGCAATTCTCCTGCCTCTGCCTCCCCGAGTGTTGGGATTAAAGGCGTGTGCTACCTACACTCAACCATCTCTTTTAGTACTTATGTTAATGTGTGAGGTCAGGCTGTAACTGTGTTTTTTAAATAGAAGCCCAGTTTTCTCAGGATGACTTTAATGTTTTTGCTCTTACCCTATTCTAAGTTGTTATGAATATTTGCATTGGTTTCTGACACCCTGGCATATATATGTGAATAATAAAAGCCAAAGAGTCCAACATAGCTTCAAAGAAGAACACCAAGAGACACTGCCCTGCTCGTGTTCTCTGCTTATCTTGCATCTAAGCCAAGGATTTCCAGCCATTGTGCTTGTTTATTTTAATGTTTATCTCTCTTTGAAATTTGCTCAGTTTGCCTTTCCCTTCAGTTACTGGTTTTATGTATTTCTGTTGACTTCATATTGCCCTTTCCATTTTCTCATTACTTCTCTCCTGAGCCTTCCAATATTTGGTGTTTAAAGTATTATAATTCTAATACCACTTAATTCTGATTAGTATCTCCTCAAATCATGATTTTTTCTCATTTATTATTGTTTTCCCAGTTTTATGAATACTTGTAATAATCCCCAAATTGTCTCTTGGTGTTTTAAATCTGTTAATTCAAATCTATTAAGTCAAGAATGTTTATATTTTTAGGCTCTTAAATATTTCCTGGAAATAATAAAAAATCCTTTTTGAAATTGAACTTATTTGTTTTTTGAGACAGGGTTTCTCTGTATAGCCTGGCTGTCCTAGAACTCCCTTTGTAGACCAGGCTGGCCTTGAACTCTCAGAGATCTGCCTGTCTCTGTCTCCCCAGTGCTGGGATTAAAGGCGTGCACCACCATTCTGGACACTTTCTTTTTTTGAGACAGTCTTACTGTGCCTTGGGCCTTGGCTGTATTTACTATGTCGAGCAGGCTGGTTTCCACTTCTGCCTCTGCCTCCCAAGTGCTGGGACTAGAGTTGTATTCCACCAAGCCCCATGTAAACTAATTTTTATAGTTTAAAAAAGTTTTTATTTTTTTTAAATTTGCATGTACCTGTGTGTCTGTTTGGGGATGTGTATGTGAGTGCTGGAGGAGAAGTGCTGGACCAGAAGGAGAGTATTGGCTCCCCTGGAGCTGGAGTTACAGGCAGTTGTGAGCCTCTGACATGGACTGGGAAACAAACTTGCATCCTCTGCAAGAACAGTATGTTTTCTTAATTGCTGAGTTATTTCTCTAGTCCCTGAATTTTGTATATTTTAAATTTTTTGTTACATGTACTTATTTATGTTTGTGTGTACTTTGTGCTTGTCTTAGACATCTTTTACTCAGCCAGTCATCTTACTAGTCC